CATTTTATTTGTGTAAGATGACAAAACAATCTGTGCTACTAATAATGATTTATACATTGGTTGTATTTATATCCCACCTGAGAACTCATTCCTTTATAAGAACAAGGATGTTGATCTGTTTAGTTATCTGGAAAAAGACATTTTACAATTCTCATTGAAAGGTGATGTTCTTCTCGTAGGGGATTTCAATGCTAGAATTGGTAGCCTTGATGATAGAATTGATGATAGCAAAAATATGCATCTACCCTTACCATCCTACTATATTAATGACAATCTTGGCAACAGAAATACTATGGTTGTTAATTCATCATGCTGTATTAACAAATTTGGTAAAAAAATAATTCAGTTGTGTATTGATTGCAACCTCATCATTCTGAATGGTAGAACTATTGGTGACTCTACAGGAAAATACACATGTCACACTCCCCAGGGTAGCAGTACAATCGATTACGGGATAACTTCAAAGAATTTATGCGACTCATTACAATATTTTAAAGTAGCAGATTTGTCTCATTTATCAGACCACTGTGCTTTAACTTTATCTACGAAGATTAATATTAACATGTGTCTAAATGAAAATAATAAAAGCAATGATAAATTAGATCCTTTACCATCAAAATATATGTGGAATGACCAGGCTAAGGACAATTATCAAACAAACCTTGAAAAGTTAAATAATAATGAAATTAAGAATTTTATGAGCAAACCTTATAGCATTTATGAGTCAGAAACTGCAGTCACAGATTTTGAAAATTTAATTACAAATATTGCAGACAAATGTCTAAAGAAAATTACTCCTAAACTTAAAAAAAATAAACGCAAAAGTAAACAAAAAAACTGGTTTGACCAGGATTGTTGGTCCCTTCGTAAGGAGTTAAGGAGCCTATCACGTTTATTACAAAAGTATCCTCAAGATCCATATATCCGAGGGAAATTCTTTCAAACCCGTAAACAGTATAAAAAACTAATCAAACATAAAAGTAATCAGAAAATGATTGCACAACTCAAAGAATTGGAAAATTCTAAATCAGACACATCTAAATTTTGGAAGATTCTTCGTGAAATGAATGGCGAGAACCCCAGTAATAATAACGGGAATGTTCAACCTGGTGATTGGTTGGTTTACTTTAAGACCCTACTTAATACTGATAGCAGTACATCAAACTCTGAGATTGCGAATGAACTGGAGAATAGTGAAAAGAGTGCAAGTAGCAACCCCTATTTAGACAGACCAATCTTAAAAAATGAAATAACTAAAGCCATTAGACTTCTTAAAAGTAACAAGGCTTCGGCAGAAGATAGAATTTGCAATGAATTGTTAAAATACGGTGAACATCACTTATTAGATGCAATACATAAACTCTTTAATATTGTTTATAGTTCAAATAACTATCCACATTCTTGGAGCACTGGCCTGTTGGTACCAATCCACAAATCTGGGTCGAAAAATAACCCGGCCAACTACAGGGGAATTGCCATCTCTAGCTGTCTTGGCAAGTTATTCAATAGTATTCTAAATATTAGGCTGACATCATTTTTAGACTCTAATAACATTCTTTCCGGTCGACAGTTCGGATTCAGGCATGATTGTCGAACTACAGACAATCTTTTCATACTAAAAACCCTGGTAAATAAATATCTCTACAGTGGTAAGTCAGAGTGCGCCAATAAACAAAATAACACAAATATTAAAAAATCAAAAAAATTATATGCCTGCTTTATTGACCTTAGAAAGGCCTTTGACAGTGTCTGGCATGATGGTCTATTCAAAAAATTAATCAAATATGGTATAACTGGAAAAATGTATAAAACTATCAAAAACATGTACAGTAAAGTAAAATATAAAGTTAAATGTAAAGAAGGCTTAACAAAACAATTTCAGTCCAATATTGGTGTTAAACAGGGATGTAATCTTAGTCCAACTCTCTTCAATCTTTTTTTAAATGACCTGCCCACTATTTTCAATCCTAATACCTGTGATCCTCCTTATTTAGAAAACTCGCATGTCAGCTGTCTACTCTATGCCGATGATATTTGTGATACTTTCTAAAACTAAAC